AGGGAAACACCACACATTTCCAGCTTCACAACCCCTTGTAATATTTTCCAAATGCTCCCCACCTTGTTAAGGAAAATGAAAGCTTTAAGTTACTCCAAAGGCATCTAAAGGCCTTTTGGTTTCAACTGAGTCTTATTCACTTTGCAATTCTGTTTTATACTTTGCCAGCCCGCGTGTAATAAAAATCAGGGAGCAATTTCAGTTTTAAATTTCATTTGCCACATGTGATTCCATTTACTGACTAAATCCCAAACCTCTCTGAGTTCCTTTTGTTCTCTACAGGTTGTTTATTACTCCCCATAGTTTTACAGAATCACAGATTTTTAATAGGTTACATATTTCCATCCTTCCCAAGAATGCTAACAGAGAAGTCAGGGGTTTACTGAGTATCTTTCCTAATTGCTACAATCTCTGTCATATCAACACACTTACATTAATCTGAAAAAAAAAATTATAATAAATAAATCCTACCACACGCAAACTTGCCATGTCTACCAGTGAAGCCATAGATCTTACCATGGATCCTACTCTGAAAGTCTTTCCTGGATGCCTGCTAGTTGGCTTCTACTTTTGCTCTGCTCCCCTCTCTCTGTGTCCCTGCTCCCACAGGGAAATGACTGACCTGGCCTAAGATATACCAGGTTAACGCCTGGCTGTGCTGCTGGGCTGCCTATGCCCTAGGCCAGCTTTTCTCTAATAGTTTTTAAACTAATTCCAAAAGGTCCTGCAGATAGTGCATATGTCCTGCTTTTCTATTTCTGACCACAATTCATACAGTCAGAGACAGGTAATCCCATTATCTGATTTGATGATGCCAGTTTTGTTTCACTGTTAACAAATCCATGCCGCCATTTCAGGACATAATCCTGATTTACTGTAGTATTTGTTATTGCTTTAACAGAACCTGGTTGGATTAAGAAAAGAGGCTAAGACATTCACACAGATAAAGTGAACATCCATAGTTATAAGTGCTGAAATTAAATAAACAGACTGAAATACCTAAAAGTTTTGGAAGGGGCATAAAGCTTCATGCTCCAGGACCTAAATCAATTTAACAAAAGGGATGAAATTCTCCTCCTGGCCAGATCACAACATAAACACTACTGCAGTACGGTCCGCCTCTTCTTCAGCAGCTGGCGTTGGTCACTTTTGGAGATAAGCTACTGGAACAGATGGATTGTGTGGTCTGGAATGGTAGTGACTGTGGTCCATCACGGATAAAATTCAGATAGGCCGTGGCTGCAAAAAATCCTGGTTTGGATTCATTTTTGCAGTTACCAATGTAAACAAATGACTAGGGGCTTCAGCATATGGACATCAGTTTGGTTTCTTGACATGGAAGCAGTCAGGCTAAGTTTTTCCTGTCTGCTCAAAAATGATACAAAAGCAGGTCAGAATAAAAGAAGTACACGTTACAGCAACGTCTCAATTGTGACATGCTTTACACACAACAGTGCTACCTCGTGTGACCAGAAACAGCGATGCCACGGCCCAGAGTCTAATTTTCTTTACAAAAAGGCCACGAAGAGCTGCAAATCACATGCATGTAGTAAACAGAAGTATCCTTTTCACCATGTAACCAAGCTCCTGCCAGATTTAAGGTACAGCCAATCACAATATAAAAACTAATAGGGACAGAAAAGCTTGCATTCTAAAAACGGACATGCCAGGATTAAGAAATTGGAATTATACCTCCAAACCCTCAAGGGTCACCCTTCCTTCTTTCCAGGTATTGTAAGAATGTCTTTTGCACTTCATCTGTTTTAACTGAAGCTTGGCTAAGTGAATGCTGTGCTTTTGAATGGAGATCATTTTGATAGCACAGATATTCTTTAGTCTTTACTCCAAAGCTCTTGGACCTATAAAGAAGCATCTTGCCTATACAGCTTGGGCTGCAGATCCTTCTTTATAAACAGATCTTTCCTTAAAATAACTACCAAGAAAGAGGTAAATTCTAAACGAAGCAATAATCACTGCATTATCTGGTCTTACTAGTCAAAGTTGACCTTAGATACAATGTGTGTGTCATTGATTACAAACGATTGCAGTTTGTCTCTACTAGGATTTTAGATTGTGGTATCTCATTGCAAAACATACACTTTTTTTGCAATGAAGACAGCGGAGGAAAGATACATCTCACTTTCAATTAGCAGCCTAGAAGCCAGCGATTTATCTTAGGCAGCTATTTTAGGAGGGAACAAATCACCCCCAACAGTGAAGCGCTCTCTCCCCATCTGTTAATGACAGGCCTAGATAACCAATTTAGAAGGCATTTAGAAGACTAGAGCTAGAAACGTGAATCCTTTCCTTAGGTTTTAGATGCCAGAAGTCAGATGAACAACTAGGATAGGACAGAGGTCTGGTTTGGTTTTGTTTTATGGGAAAGACCCAAATAAATCTTTAAATTACATTGCTTAAAATTTCTTAATTTTACAAGGGAAAATTGGGTTTACCCTGGCAGATCTGGATGAGACAGAAGTTTACTGTGTCCAGGGCAAACACATCATCAAATTGTGCTGTTTTCTCTACTTGAGAATTTTCTTTACTTGAGAATTTTATGACAAGAGTGACTTCATTATAAAACCCAAAATTCTCCTATTTTTTCCTCCAGGTAGGACCACTCCAGTTTTTACCACAGTATTCCTAATTGACAGCCTGCCACTTTGCAATCATTAATACCTTTGACCACTCTGGGCACACTACAACTGTCTGTTCTAAGCTATATTTAATCACAACTAAGTTGATCCTTATGCTGATTTCCCAAGAAAATGAAGACATTCCACATCTAATTTTTTTCCTTCCAAGTTCCTGTTTGAGACAGGAAGAACTGGAAAGAATTAAAACTGATACAAGCAAGAGCTGAGGTGTGAAACTCAACAATGCGATGCTTGTACCTGCAAAACGCATCCTCCCTTCCTCACTGCCAGCAGTGGCTGATGACTAAGCCAGAGCAACCTTTTTTTCTACCAAAGCCTAAAGTCAGCTCTCTGCAGCCTGAATAATCTCCATCAGTGGATGCTACTGCCTCTAAAGCTGTACTGCTGTCATCAATCACTGCAGTGTGGAGAACAATGTCCTAACCCAGCCTGCACGATGCTTGTCAGCAGCATCATTCTCCGCTCTATGTGACCTGTAATTATAGCTCTGCACAGAGCCTCACTGCTGAAGAGCAGAGAGGATGAGGAAGGACGTGGCACAATACCCACCTGTCTTCTGTACTCCCAAGTAGGGTCATACACCTTCCATCCATTTTCTGGGAAAACCTCTTTGTACTCAAATGCAAAAAGTGGCTGAAAGAAAGAAAATTTACCATTAAGAGCCCACTCAAAGCCCATTTCCAGGATGTCTGATATCTCAAATAATAACTCATGACTGGTCCTTCTTTTTTTCCCACTGCATTACTTTTCTTTTAGGGCTTTGTGAAAAAGATTAACATGCTCACTGCAGCAGGTAATCAGTACAACAATGTACTTTCCTCTATACCCCTGATCTTGCTTGTCCATTATCTAGTACTTCATGGACAAAAGGAATGTATTATTAAAGAAAGAAAAGACTACTTGGGCAAGAACGCTCTTACATATTAAGAACTAGATCCTTTCAAACCAGTATTTGAAGCAACAATTGCAGTGTCATAACACGACAGAGCAGACAACCGCATTCCAGATTTGGGGCAGTGCAGTCATCCTTAGCTGTAAGTCTCTGACGGATGTCACTGTGCTTTGAATATTTCCCCCCTGTTACAAGGATGTATCAGTAAGTCATTCTCCATACATGAAGGAATCCAGCCCCACGGTAGCAGACTTTCTGTTTTCTATACGATCTAAACTCCTACAGAATTAATTCTAAAACAGATTTAAAACCCAGCATTTCTCCTTCTTCAACAAAATGCACCCCATGTGAACACTGAACCAAGTAGATGGGACTGAACAAAACAGCTTACTGCCACTCTGTGTCTTTTAGTAAAAACTGAAAAGAAAATACTTACCAGATTATTTGAAACTGGGAAAGCATATTTCATTAGGTTCTCAAATATGGATCGTCTAGTTCTCCCTTCAGGCTTATGAGCAAATCGCAAGTTTCGAATATCCTAGGGAAAAAAGAGGAAAATCAAATTGCAGATTTTTGAACCACTTCAAAATTCAAACAAAATCCAAAAGCCAGCATTCAAAATAAGGTCACATCACGATGTTCTTTCCAGTACTGATTTAACGTTGTACTTTGAACACTTGTATTGCAACTCTGGGCTTGGTTCAATGGTCATCTACAGTCTCCCAACAAAGCCTGCCCCAACTGCAGAGGAGCAGAGGGAGTGCACAGATGCGCCTGATCGCAGCATCTTGCCTTCCCAGGAAGCTCTCCACCTGCTGAAAGTCTAGGGGAGAGACCCACTTAGGGACAAGCTATCTCTGATCAGCAGGACTTTGTGAGACAGACCTCCCACCTCTTACAGGGCTCTCACGCTCAGCTGTGCCAGAAGGCAGCTGGAAGGGACTGCCTCACAAAGCACCTCCACAGAGCTACTGCACGTCGGGAGCCCAAGTCCAGCCAGTTTGGTGCAAAGCAACCAGTGCCATTTCCCTTTAAAGCTTCCATCTCTCAGAGCACTAAAGAGGATGTCTTGAAACTGAGAACTCCTCCACTTTACACAGCAGCACAGTTTCCACAGAGTGGTAACCCAGGACCTCCTTTCCGTACTCATCTACAAAATCAAATCTGGAAACTAAATAAAGCATCTCTAAGATGCCAAGATTTTCCAGCCAAGCCGACAACTCAAACACTTGTAGTAAACACTTTAAAAGCCAAAGCTATCAAGTTCAAGCATACGAAGATGGTACAGCAAATCAGAAAATGAGATAAACAGCTGAAGATTTAGCTTTCTCACAAAACTAGGATTAGGTAATCGGTCTCAGACAGAGAACATTTTGGGATGCATAAGCTATACCCATACTACTCTGTTGCACTAAACTGCTCTGCATATCGCGGGCCAAGCAGGCTGGCATAAATATATGTGCTGGACAGGGCCAAGATACACATCATATAGTTTGTGCCTGGGTTTCCCATCCAGGGAAACAACGTAGTTGACTCCAAACCTGACCAGGTGTGCAAACTTGCATACAGGCAAAATGGCTGAGGACTAGGAATCCAGATCAAAACAGGGAAAAAATTAGCTTGCCAGCACAGGCATCCCTACATTGAAGACAGGGAGGATCATGACTGCAAGAGGATGAGGGAGCAGCTGGCTGATTTGGTATAGATTATATCAACTGCTCTTGACTCAGCAGGCCCACAGCTTCCTGATGCCTCAAAATCACAGCAGTGATCATAGCAGTTTGGGACTCCTTTCCATTCCTCATCTGCCCTTACCCAGCAAGCGGCATCCTTACAGCCTTGAGGGGGCTCTGACAAGAGCTCTAAGCAGCCCCAAGACCTACAAGGTTCAGAATCCAGCTCTCCCCACACGGCCACAGAGGGAAGCAGAGGGGTCATGCCCTGGTGAACAGTGGAGGTATGGATTTGGGACCGGAGATGGTGGCTTTATCTGCTTTGCGGGTCTACAGTAAGTAGACGTCAGGAGGTGATTTGTTAATTTTTATTGAAGTTTGCATTTCTAATGATTCCAAGAGCTCTCAAGAGGCACGTGTGAAATATGTACTGCCTTGAAAGAAATGAAAAAACAGCCTCGAGGAGGACTGAAGGCTACTAGTCAGTCTCTCACCACAAAGCACAGCAGCACGTGGACATAAGCCAACGACTTAGGGGGAAATATTCCCCTTTCTTGCTCTTGAAATGCAAGTGAGTGAAAGGCATCCTGTATTCCGCAATGTCTACCTGGAACAGCCTGGTGGGCATTAGTGGGATGCAGGCCTATGTTTCCACTATGAAGAAAAGACATTACCTAGCACAAAGCCTGAACAAAGGTTTGGATCTCATCTCGAATGAGTGGAGCTGGAGAATCCTGAAAATTACTTTTAAAATCATGTGGGTTTTGAAGCGTGTGAAGTCATACTGACTCAAATGTTTTGTAGAACTTCCTACAGCACTACAGAGAAAACCTTTTAAAATATATGTTCCCCTTCCCCTATTGTAAAACACAGATAAAAGTTTACCTTGCACACAATCTCCAGCCCGTATGAATTCTCACCACGACTGGAAGCACCTCCAATTTTCTCCACTCTGTTGATTACACCTAAAGATGCATCTAGGACAAAAGGAGGGTCCTGTAGACAGTTGAAATTTGTGAGTTTAAAAAGGGGAGGGGGAAAAATCCCCAACTCCTGCTCCCTTATGCCTATATTCCAAACATATAGCTATGATTCACACAGAATTACTCTCAAACACCTAGGTCTAAAGACTAAATAGCCAACAAGGGCAGATGGGTTTCAAAAGCTTACCCGTTCCATGCTTTTAAAATACAGTCTATAATTGGTAACAGTAAGGGTTCCTCTGATTGCTCCAGTGAAGGGGCAGATGTAAGTAACATCTTTAGCTTAAAAAAAAGAAAAAAAAAAAAGAAGTTGTTAATTTCATGGTTAAATTATGAGAGTAAAATTACGACAGCAACAATATTCGGGGGTTCTACTTTTCAGTTCATGAAATGAAAACAAGCTTAATCTGGGCTTCTAGCCTAGAGCTAACATGCAAGTTTCAGTTCTCTGGAGACGGTAAGAGTTTGGGTATAAATTGAACTCCAGGCAAGTACCATCACCTAGAATCCCACATTTGCACAGAACTGCTACCCCTGTAAAAAAGCCAGTACTGGGCTGCAAACTGTTTACTCTTACTGAGCAATGCATTGCCAGTAGCTGAGAACACTATGCACGAAAAGAGGAGACGATTCCTGCCTGGATAGATATATTTCAAGCTGACAACAACCTGCATAAAAGCTAAGGATCATCCGCAAGCTGGTTTGTGCCACCAAGGACAGGAGAAGGCAGTTCTCCTACATGTGGCTTTTAGGATGCTTGGGTCCCTCTGCACACCCTTCCTTGCACACAGAGTCAGCCCTGGGATGACGGCCCTCATGCTAAAAGCCAGCGAAGCTACACCGATTTCCAGCAGTCACGAATTTGTATAGCACCCAACTGCCAGTGATTTTAAGTCTGAAGTCAGCGATCAAGTTACTCTGCAACAATTTCAATTATTTTTGAGCCTGAGTGACGATGACTCAAAACAGTCCCCCCTCCTAAAAGGCCTCAAACATTTCTTGCTGGTTCCAGCAAAAGGCAAGAGGTGCTGCTGGTTTTCCACAGCAAACACCTCCCCTAACTGCCGTTCTGGTTTACGTCAATTAAAACTGCCAACATTTAAGTCATTCCCGTTGTTCCCCCCCCACCGCCCATGACGTTTTCTGCCACTGAAGCAGCTGGCTGGCTGTGCTGTGGCAATGGTTTATGCTATCACTGACATTAATGACATCTCTCAAACACACAGATCTCCTTTCAGAAGGAGACCCACTGACCAGAGCTGCCACATCCATGAAGGAACTCCCCGGGCCATCTTAATAACCTCAAGCCTCCAAACTCTACGGGATCCATTTTGCAAGGGCTGTGTGAAGTCAGGAGGACAGCTTGCCTCCCATCCAGGTGACAGCCACCACGCATATGAGGCAGGAGGCTACAGGGGTGTCAGGATGGGGACCTGAACTTCTTTTACCTTTATTCCCTGAGATTTAGCTGGAAGGGAGGAAGGAAGGGAGATTGCCTTACTCCAGGGCACTGGCAACTCATATAACTAAATCCACCTCATGTCAGCTCTGCTTCTGTATAGTCTTCACTGACTCTCGAGATTTGGATATAGAGAAGGATCCTTGAAGTATCACAAGTGATTAATTCAGAGCAAAATATGCTGCACAGAATTTCTCGTTAAAAATAAATAAAATATAATATATATATATACACACACACACTAACAAATTCATTACCTATTTGTTTAATTTACACGCACTTGTTCGAAGGTCAATTAAACACAAAATGCTTCTAGCCAGTTCTAATTAAATCAAGTCTTTCATTACTGGCCAATTATTAATAATTTCTTTTCAAAGACTAGTTTGACAGAGGTTTGAAAGCAGACTCATGAAGCATAATAAGGGTGAGGGCAGCCTGCCTAGTTTTTCCACTAGAATTCCCATTATTCAAAGTGTAATTTCAAAATGTTTTTAAAAAATCCCAACAAAAACTACTAATAAGAGAAGTGTGCATTTACATCTGAAAAGGAACAGGATTTCTGAGTAAGAGGAAAAGTGCTCGAAAAATTCCAGGTAAGGAATCCCAGGCACAATCTCCAACACTGGCCTTGCCAGCTTGTAAGCCCTATCACCTTTCACATTTGCATTTTATTAGCTTGGTTTCCTAAGGAAACGATTTTACTTAATTACACTGCACATGTACACATGTACCTACACACATGGCTTGTCTGACCTTAACCCTACCACAGTTCTGTGATTCCAGCAGTCTCTATCTGATAAATAGGGATCTCCAAGGCATCAAAATGCTTCACTGTGAGAATGGATACCAGGTATAGTAGAGAGGTTGTACTAGCACTACTACCAAGGGAAAGTCTAATAAGCTTAGTCTTTGGTAGATATAAGAGAATCCATATGGGAGAAAGATACTGGAAACCAGGATTTACTAATTCCCCTGCTTATGGAATTCCTGTGTTTTATAGGGCCAATCTTAGCCTAGATTATTGGGTTGGCTGAAATAATTTTTCTTCCAAACCCTGTAAAATACAGAGAGAATTACATTTGCCTTTCTCGACACTTTTAACAGGAAATAGTTATTGCTGATGAATAATAAAGATTTCCTTTTTGCTACCTTTAACTTCTTTCTGGACCAGGCAGCTGCTGTCTGGCCTACTCCAAAAGCCACCCGGTCTTACAGACTTACGTGGCTCATCACATCGTTTGCCAATAGATAAAACAGTGGTAATTCTGATCTCTTAAACCATTCCCCAGGAACCCTTCAAAATATAGTCTTGTTGGCAGAGCTAACTGTGCCTGTGGAGCAAGTTAAATGTCAGTCTGCAGTGTGTGGTTGGAGTACAAGTTCAGAGTCCTTAGAAAAGGAGTAAAGGATTGAGCATTGGGCGGGGGGGGGGGGGGGGGGGGGGTGGGGTT